TGTTTTGGATTTTGAATTTTTTTTAGATTAAAATCTTTAGAAAATTAATTCACGAAAGTTGAAACAATAATAATTTCAAGAAAAATTAACAAGAAAAAAAAAATTAGGGATTAACCTTTTAAAAACAATTTAATAAAATTGCGGACTCAAATTATGAGTCTGCATGGTTGGAGGAAATTTTTTTTTGAGTCCGGACAATACATGAATAGTTGTATTTTGAAGGGGAAAAAAATTTGAGTTTAGCCCTATTTGGGTTAGAGATGGCCTAAGTCTCTCTCTCTTGTTCAGTGCAATATTCCTCTTTTCCATTGTAGGCCCTTTCCAGATTCCATTGAAGGCAGGGTATGTGGATACATGCTGAGTAGGAGGATATGGTGTTTGACAAAGACGAGTGACTATAAGGAAGGACTTCTCTTTTTTATCCAAAAAAGAAAAAGAAAAGGAAAAGGAAAAAGGAAAAAAGGAAGGACTTCTCTTAATTTGTTCTCTCTTAGTCTTTAGACACTTGAAAACATTAAAAAAAAAATTGAATAAGAGAAGGAAGCTTCGATAATCTTTTGTTATTTTGTCAAACCTCTTGAATCTATGCTTTCAACATGCAGATTCCATATAATTTTATGAACTCAATGAAGACGTTTCCTAAATTTTCTTTTATTTTTATTTTTTATGTTTGGGTGTTGGATGAGTCTCCTGCTCAATTCCTCTTCTTTATTAAGGTTTGAGAGGTCATCCGTAGTTTGTTGTTAACCAAGTTAACCTTGTTTAAATGTGATTGATGCAGTCAAAATAGTTCATTTCTTTTTACCAATTGGGTATTTTACAATTTGAAAGCTTCGAGCTAATTTCCAAGAGTTTGATGTCACAAGGTAAAATAGAAAATATATCAAAGTGCATTCAGTAAAAATTGAATTTGTCTCTCCAAATGAAGGGCTTTGCATTTTTTATAATGTATAGTTTTGTCGAACCATTCTGCGTATCCATTCCATGAGCTTGCTTGGACGCTGCCTACTAAAATACAAAGGGTGCCCAAAAAACGGCTTTCACATCATGATAGATTTTCTTCAAAGTGCTTGTAGCCTTCAATTCCACCCGATAAAAACGTACCCGTCAGTGTCGAGTGTCATCTTTCTAATTAGTCTGATTTGATTGGAAATAATTAGCACTTGGTCAAGCCAGTTAACACGGTCCATAATTTTCTTTATTTTTTTACCATCGCTTTTTTTTTGTGGTCAAAATGCTAATCTAACCTAATCGTTCATTGTTTTTTATTTTAATTTTATCTTTGTAATCATAGCCTGAGCCCAAAACAATAAAGCAAGCTTAACTAATATAGTAACAGCCAAAAGAGGCTCAGTAGAGGGAGACAGGTCGAAGGCCTTTGAGCCCAACTCTAAACTTAGGCACATAAGCGATGATTTTTAATACAAGCGGTAATGAAAGAGGGAGGAATCGAACTTAAGATCTTAGGTGCATGTGTAAATATTTTTAACCACTTGAGTTACAAACATTTTGCAAGCTACTCCCCAAAAATGAAAGAGCTCATAATTTGGTTTGAAAAAAAACATAATTTTATTAAATTAAAGAGGCTTTTCCCCTTTTCTGCCTCTCTAACATGAGTGTTAGACAAGCCATCCATCCATGCATTGCAATTTGCATATTCTAGCTTTTCTGGCTAGTCTTTACTGTTTCGAGTTGTAAAATGGGGGTCTTCCAATTCCACAACTTTTTCATCAACTTTTGTAATCAGGGGCGGAGCCAATTAAGGCCTAGGAGGGTCATATGACCCTTCTGACCCAATGGTAACAGTGTACAGATTACCTTATTGACCCTTCTGACCCAATGGCAACAGTGTACATATTACCTTATTTCCACTTTCAACATTTAAGTAAATGTCTTTGTCATTTTACTTTTATTTATTTTTATATTACTCCATTTACTTAAGTTTACAATGTAAATAAGGAAGTACCCCCCATTTGGATTCAAATAAAAATACTAGAAAATCAAATTCCCACCAAATCAAAATATGAAAAATCGGTTTTAGTGTAAAATACGATTTAGGCTAAAAATGATGGCTCATTAAGTCAATATATACTTCATACTACAATCCCATAAAATCAAGTTTTCTTATTTGATGTGTGAGGAATAAAAGCCGCCAAAAATTATCTTCAGAAAATGATTATTCCAAAAACCCATTTTTCATACTTAGTCAATATTTTTACATAAAACAATTTTTCATGTATGATATGAATGCATGAAGGAACTAAGGTCAATCTAGGTAAAAAGCCTAATCCACTATAATGTTAAACCCTATTTGGTTTATGTTAAAACTTATTGAAAATTAGNAAAAAAATAATCATTAAATTTTAAGCTAATAACTTTAGCTAGCCCACCCGTTGAAAAATTCCTGATTCCACCCTTGATGAAGCATATGGAAGTGGGTGGTAGAGCAACTGGTTTGACCTTCTACCACGTAAGTGTTTTTATTCATGTTCAGTTTAATTAGCAACATCTTCCAATATTGTCTTAAAACCCATTAAATATTTTTGGAACAACAACCATCAAAGTTTTCTTATATAATTGAACTTATTCTAAAATATTTATGTAGAAAAACAATGGATACTTAAGATTTTAGGTTATTAATCTATTATCTCGTAGTTTTATTCTCATGGCACATCCTTGTATGCATATTTCTTCTCCTCTAAACCATCCTAGTCCAAGTCTGGTGGTGGTATGGCTTTTCCAATTATCTTGGCTAATAATGTTGACCCTCCTTGAGAGAATTCCTGGCTACGCCACTGTTTGTAATGAACTTCCTCTCTAATCAAGGACCATGCGACAAAGAAGAGGAAAAGGCATTTCACATATGGAAAAAATATAACTGAAATGACCTGGAAATGGCAGATATTATTGGTGGTGTTGCATATTAAATAATAGATGGACTAGCTTAGCCTGGTTTTGTAATTTTCCACTTTCTAAGTTACAATTTAATTCATTTTTGTTCTTGTTTTTATTTCATCATTGTGGCAAAGGTTAAAGGCAATAACACCAAAGCAAGCTTAACTAAGAACAGCCTGGTACCTGGAAGAAGGAGACGGGTCAAAGGCCCTTGAGCACAACTCCAAACTTAATAGCTAAGGACCACACCAAACTAAATTAAGCTCTTTTTTTTTTCTTCTTAATTCAAGTGATTGGGGAATTGAGGTTTACACAAATATTCATTGGGTGTCTGAGGATTTGAACCTCAGCTCACATGGAGGTGGTGGAAGAACCTAACCAACTGAGCTATATCCCACTAGCCAAGTTGAATTAAGCTTAGTCTCATGATCAGTGCATAATTGTATATAATTTTGTACTCTTCTAACTTATGATTTCGTTACGTTTTTTTAGTTAAACTTGTGTTTTTAATCTCTTTATATAATATTTACTATTTTAATTATTGTAATATTATGTAATATTTATTTGCTTTAGTACCTTTCATTTGTTGTTATGACATTGATTGTGCCTAATTTTTAAACATTAAAGATAATGTTCATTTCTAAATTTGGAAGGGTAGTTTAGTAAGTAAATATTTTTTTCTTTATTATTATTATTATTATTTTTTGCTTGTCTTTTTGTTTAATAGTCATTGACATTCGTAGTCACGACTCACAATGGGGAGCTTAAAAACACTAGCACATCTAATAGCTAATAATAACTATGGTTATTCGTACTCATTGTGTTATTAGCCACTTTATTGATGACAAAAATGTCAAGACCAGACACGAACCCATGCCCGTCTAACTAGGGCTATAGCCAAACCAAAATATGGAAAAATAGTCTACATCTAGGCCAAGGAGATTCAAACCTCTCAAATGGATGTCAACTAAGTGCGCTTTTCCATTAGGCCATCACATATTTATGATATATGTTTGATCTCACACACGGGCAATCCGCTCTGATATCATGAAAAAAGTTGTGGTTCTATCCCAAAACCAATTGGCAATGGGGGAGTAATATTTTACTTATAGGAATCTTATATTAGTAGCTTCTCACCCGCATCCATCATTGCAATTATGGAATCTATTTATATGGAATCTGATATATAAAATCATAAACTCTTCTTATTCCAAGTTTCCATCACAATTTTTCATTAAAAAATACCTCTCTTATTATTCAGTTTTTTTTTATAAAAATCATGTCTTACTGTGCTATCATATTTGGGAAGAATGTTGTTGTTGTTGTTGTTGTTGATAATGTAGTTAAACACATAAAAATAAATAATATAAGTGTTTAACAAATTATATACAATTTAAAAAAATATCATAAAATAAAGTAAGACTCTGCCAAAATTTGAAGAGAAATTTTTCAATGAGAAAAATTAATCCGACTCATTTTTCAATCCTGGATCCGTGCCTCAAGACTGTAATATTGTTTTCTTCAAGTGTTTGGGGCTTTCGTCGTAATATATATCTTGCTTATATATTGTAGATAATGATGATATATATTGTAGGACAGAATATTATTTGAAGCCCCTCCTCTCTGAATTGTACAAAGTAATAATAGTAATATGTACTCATTAAATTAAGCAGTTCAACTTCTTTTTTGTGATGTTCGGTTTGGATGGGTGGTTTTCAATCTTGGTGCTCAACCTTTTTTCTTCACTGAATCTAGAAACAAAGCAAACGAAACAAGCAGAGACAAAATGACAAGAAAAGAAATTTTGGGACCCTTGTTCTTCAACTTTGTTAATGAGGGTATTTGGGATGCACATGCAAATGGAATCTTAGAACACATTTTTTCGTTAAAAAAAAAATTAGGAAAATGTTCATAAATACTACCTGAAATTTTAAGCATGTGCACGATTACCACCTAAACTTTTAATTTTAATTATTAATCACCTAAACTTTACAAAGTGTAGCAATTTACCACCTATGTATAACTTCGTTAAGATTTTTTTTCTTCATTTTTTTCTTTCCCATTTAGCATAAGTTTGAATCTTTTACTTATTTGTCATATGTTTCTTTATGACACTTCAGGGCTATACACCACTCTTCCCCCGAATATTTGGTCATGAAGCAGCTGGGTACGCTGTTGCTTTTAAGTGAATCTTACTTCCTCTGGCTTCAGAATGGACTATTTTTCCCAGTATTGGTTCCTTTTCTTTCTTCCTTATTGGCTTCCATAACCTGGTTTAGTTCACATTATGAATGCGAATGCTGATTTTCATAACAGAGTTGTTGAGAGTGTTGGGGACGGCGTTAAAAACCTCAAGCCCGGGGATCATGTGCTTCCAGTTTTCACAGGGGAGTGTGGGGATTGCGTGCATTACATGTCTGAGGAAAGCAATATGTGTGACCTGCTGAGAATCAATACAGATAGAGGAGTTATGACTGGTGATGGGAAACAAAGGTTTTCCAAGAATGGGACTCCTATTAATCACTTTCTTGGCACGTCCACCTTCAGTGAATATACAGTCATCCATGAAGGCTGCCTTGCCAAGATCGATTCCTTAGCACCGTTAGACAAAGTCTGCATCCTCAGTTGTGGTGTCTCAACAGGTTTAGTGTTACACTCTCAGAGCATAATGTTATTGCATATTTGATGATATGTGTAATGGTAAATGTTTTTCTCACCAAAAAATGGAAATAAAAATTCAGGATTAGGTGCTACTCTGAATGTGGCAAAACCAAAGAAGGGATCTTCAGTTGCTGTCTTTGGACTTGGGGCTGTTGGCCTGGCAGTAAGTTTGGGATAAATTTTGTTGACATTTCCTGAATTGTAGTAGTTTGCCATTTATTTCCCATGTGGTATTCATAATTATTTATATGTTTCTTTCGGCTGCTGATGGTGCAAGAATTTCTGGGGCATCAAGGATTTTTGGGGTTGACTTGAATCCCAAGAGGCTTGAGGAAGGTACTTATAATTTTGTACATTTTGATTAGTTTATCATGGTTTAACATTTACTTGGAAAATATAAGAAACAAATTCTTGATTGATACTTTTATTTCCCCTGGTTTTAAGCCAAGAACTTTGGAGTAAACGAGTTTGTGAGCCCAAGGGACGAGAAATTATAACTCCTAACAGCTTAATTCGGCAAAGCATAGAAATTGGTACTGAAAACTGAATTGACATTCATTTGAAGACACCAGATATATTTCTTCTATTAATCAAAATCCTTTGTTCCACCTTCTCTGTGTGTGACCACAAATGATACGAAAATGAGTGAATGAGCCCTACCAGTGAGGATGTTACTTATACTTCTCCACGATTCTCCTGGCTTCTTCTGGACTGTCCTCCATCCCCTCCTCCTTTGGTGTAGAGGTGGTGCCTCCGCCCTGCTTTGGTCCTTCATCCTTATTCAAAGCTATAAATGTAAAGTATACAAGTCCCATCGTAGCCTGTTATCATACAATGCTTAGTTCAATACAATTACATAATATTTATGCACTCAAAAAATAAGGTCTATCTATACGAGAATAATGCTCTCTTACTGTCAACAGGAAATTTACTTGTCTACATTGCATCTCCTTTCCTTATAGAAACTAGTAACGCAGAAAAAGACGTTGATTTTAAAACACAAACACACAAATGATAGCACAAGCATACTTGATATACATTTTGGAAAAAGCAAGTCAAAATAACATCATCGATCTACTGTTCTTGCAGGAGGAGAGAAATAGAAACATACCAGCACAAAGAAAACTGTAGACAGTAAAGACTTGAGTACAAAGAGTGAAAGAGCCAATGCAACTACTGTCACAGAAACCCTTGCAATTGATCTTGGCACAGAATCCTAGCACCCAAACACAAAACGCAAACAGAATATCAAAAATCTTCAATTTGTACTAAAAGCAAGAAAAACAACCTGCATTGAAATTGCAAAATCGATAAAAGTTTGAAAGGGTAGACTAAACATAACTTACCGCCACAAGATTGGTTCCTGCCTCAATTCCATCTCTCCCAACCTTCCAAACTGTTTGTACAACTATTTTACACAATTCAAACCAGTAGTCAACACAAATGTAAACATAAAACTCAAGGGTAAACTATTTGCTCTCTTGTATGAGCAGGAAAGCAGCAAAAGTAATTCATGTGATGCAGAAAGGTAGAAACACTTGCTGCACATGGCAGCACGTCAGCTAGGTTTCACCCACCAAATGGTAAGTTCCCATGGATTATGGTATGGATG